AAAAAAAAGTTGCGCGGGGCTGATCTCTGACCGATTATGGCGGTTTTTTTTTCTCAAAGTTGCCCGCCCCTTGAAACCCAGTCAATTCCGCTGCCTTGTCTCCAACTTCGACCGGTTGGCTTGCCCACGGCCATTGTTTTGCCAACTGTAGCAGGTGATTCCCAATAACGATCGATATTACTTTTAAGACGGGGTGCCGACCGCGCAAAACAATAGCCCCTGATTATCGACTTTTTTTTCTATTCTTGTCCGCGCGCGCGCGCGCGAAAAAAACCCCAAGTTCTGCACCCCGCCCGAATGCAAGTACTTCCCACACGAATATGTTATGTGTTTGTTGATGTGTCGGAAATGGGCTGATGGCTTATATTGCTCGCACACCAAATTCTTACAAACTTACAAACAAAACTGAATAATTAATTATTGAGTCTCACTGGTTGCTGTTTCTGACAAAGTCTATTTTGCAATTTCACAGGACATTCATGGTGCACGAGAGACACGCCTATAGGCCTACCGAGATCTGCAACTGTTATTGTGTGTAGTGTAGCATGCCGTCATTACATGAAATTGATTCCCAAATATATTCTGTGTTGGACAAAGTTCACACACACATATATACCGTCACCTGTAGAGTATAAAAGTTCAAGCAAAAGTTTTCTTGAATGTAGGAAGTTATCCGCTCCTCTGCGTTTTGTGTTCATCTTAGAAGATGAACCAGAAAATAAAGAGATCCCTCCCAAAATGTAAAAATTGCTACCGGTGTTTGCAATTTAAACGTTTTGAGAACCCATTTTTTTGTCATGTTTATCCACGTTTATATATTTTTTTTGCACAGTACAAAAGTCCGTAGGCGGCATCAGGAATGAATTGTAAAAAGTCAAGTATTCATTGTCGATTTTTTTTTTTTTTTGGGGGGGGGGGCACATTATGATAATAAATCCAGAGAGGACATTATTTTATGAAGTGTCTTGTTATCCGGTTACTGTGGCACCGGCTTGTGCCGGCCATTTTTAACAGACATCCCCGGTCGAAAACCCACCCCAGCTTGCGGTCATCAGGCCCGGCTACTAAGCGGGAGATTGTACCAGTTGATTGAAGTAGGCAATCGATGAAGTTAAGATCTCCTGAATGGCATTAGATGATGTTCGACCATCTTAGAATGAATACCGACCCTCGTCTACTTAATTATTTAATGCGGTAACGAGGCAAAGGAGTCGATGCCGTTACCATTCCAGGTGGTGGACATTCTCGTCATCATTATAATCGTCATCACCATCATTTTCATCACCCATTATCACTATCATTACAATTAGTATCACCTCCACTTTCACCACCATAATTATATTGCAACATACAGGGTGAGTCAAAAAGCGGAACCCAAACCCCCAAAATTATATTTCCTATTAAAAAAATGTATCACCTAAGATAATAATGACTGGAAAGCCAATTTCATAAGCTACTTTTAGATGAAAAAAATTACTGAAATTGCTCAATCCGTTCAAAGAATATCACCATTTAAACACAATGACTCTAAAACCTGTCTCGTCCAAAAATGCGATTTCAAGAATCGTCGTCACAATTTAAACATCACCAGCGATAAAACCTCAGTTTAAAGGTTAAAATATTCAACAAAGTCCTTTTGAAGGCCCGTCTTTTTTCTCTTTTTTTAAGTTGATTTTATAAATCATATTGTTTGCCTAACGGGTTGTTAATAAGATATTGTGCACTAGTTGTTGAACAAGTATTGTGTGTCATTTTCTTTGTTGTTCCAAGCAGTCAAAACACAATATTTTTTTTTTTTTTACAAAACAGGTTTTAGGGTCATTGCGTTTAAATGGTGATATTCTTTGAACGGATTGAGTAATTTCAGTAATTTTTTCATCTAATAGTAGCTTATGAAATTGGCTTTCCAGTCATTGTTACTTTTGGTGATACATAGTTTTTTTTTATCTGAAATATATTGTTTGGGGTTTGGGTTCCACTTTCTTTGACTCACCCTGTACTATCGCATCACCATGTGTTCAACGTTAAACATCATTTTCATACCCTATTTTTCTCACAACTATTGCAATAACAATCATCATTAGCCTTTAGTATTCTCATCGTGATAATCAGTTTTCTAAAACGATAACCGCTGGATTGTTCAATTTTTACTGTGTACATTTCCAATTTGGTCGTAATTCATAATATGAGTTTAATTTCCAGCATGGGCCTAATTTCCAATATTGGCCTCCCTTCTATTCCCTTATTTCACACTTGGTTTTAAGATAGGCCTAACCATCATATTTCTGTAACTGCATTCTACGAAACAGTATAATCCTCATTGTTCCTGTCAGTATTGTTTGATTAAAAAGAAGAAACTGAGCAAGATTCACTGTCACTTTTTCTAACTCCTGGAAAAGTACCGGCTATGTCCCCCAAGACATGCCGGTACACCCCGGCCCGGGGGCCCCCTCCGGAGCGGTACTGGCAGGGTATATGATCCCAAAAAGAGAGTCTTTTAATAATCGGTCATTGAGATCAGGATTTAAAAAAAACCGACGGGAGATGTTAAGCCTCATGTAAGAAGGATGTGCTACGAGGCTTGATTATAGTCTGGGAATTCGCACACTCTGACACGATAATAATACAGTCAGCGAGTCAGAATCGATTGGCTTTTTTTTTCAGCTGGAAAATGATAAATAAAGCATTAGTGAATCTCTCTGAAAATGAAAGCTGTTCATCAATATTTGTTCATGTGATATTTCATGACGTACATTGTGGATTGGGCCAAAAAAAAAAATCAGTCTCCGTTTTCTGACCATTGCTCTGCAAATACCTCCAAAATACTTCACTGTTTGATTTTAAAACAGCCTATACTTAAGGCCAAAAAAAAAAGTCTCCGGTTTCTGGTATGCGCGCGCGTCGCCGTAGCCATGCGCGTCGGCAAAATGAAAAAGTTTTTTTTCAATGAAAGATGATGTCCCAAAACCACCAAACTCACTGGTTTGACTGGAATCCTGCTGCTGCACAATTTTAACGTGTTTTTAGATGGGGTTATGATCGAGAATAAGCTTCATGTGGCCTCTCTAGACTCCCATATTATTTGCACTAAGTTTAGTCGGGCACCATTTTGCAGTCATCCGCCGACATTTGAAGCAAAAAAAAAAACAGGTAAAAAAAAAAAAATGCCGCGTCGCCGCACCACTTTTTGGGCAAGCTCCATACCAGAAACCGGAGACTTTTTTTTTGGCCTTGAGCATTTGGACTAATTTTGAAGTAAACCATTTTGCATAGGGAAAAGGCTGCAGGCCAGTAAATAGGCCCAACATTTCCTAAGCGTGAGTCAAATCACAATTTGCATGCCCTCTATTGTTTTGCCATTATAGAGCATTTTGTGGGCCATGAAAAGAAGGGTGGAAGCCGTGATCAGGACTACACCATTGTATTTCTGTGACATTTGGATGAAATTGGGCCCTAAAATAGTTGCTCTGTTTTGCGATGGAGCGTATTATCGGCATCATTTTTTCAAAATGGCAATGGGCTTCAGGACTACTTTTAAGGAGGATCATATTTGGATGGAATGTTCTCCCAAAAAGTCATGGGATTATAATTTATATACCCACCGTAATCTCATAATTTATAATCTCATAATTTATATACCCACCGAAAGAAACTGAGCAGAAATTGGAAGATGAGGAAATAAGCTTCAATTGGATGGGTGCGTGAAACACTTGGAGAGTTGCGAGCATTTCCCAGTGATCTTGAGAAGAGGCGGTATTTATCACTGAGGTCTATGGCAGTTTATTTGCTGATCTTAAATTTTGATAGAATTTCTACGTTTATGAGGTTCTCTGCACAAGGATGTACGAGACCATGGGTTCGAGTCCCACCCAAGTGTCTTGTGATTTCGTTAATCGTGAAAAGCCTTTCAGTTAAGACATTCTCGATCAACCCTCTGAAACTACGGTTTTTTAGGTTGATTTTGCGTCTATAACGCACAAAGATGCGCCCGAATTATTGATGGGCCGCATATATCTCGAAACACATATGTATAGGTTTTCCCAGTCAATTTTCTGAAATGTTCATTCACTTCTGAAAATCGGTCATTCATTTTCGTCCGAATTTGAATGCATCTTTAATCCCATTTCAATTCAACGAAAGTTCAATCATTATGATTGTCCGTGCATTCTGTTTTGAGAAATTACATTACTGTTATTATTCATTTACGCAAGCATACCTTTTCTAAATTGATTTCAGGTACAGCTAATTTGATTGACGATTAATGAAAAAGAAACTCCCAATTGTATCTGGTGCCGATGGCATTAAACTCAAAGTGAAATAGAATGGTGAATGTTTGAAATCACCATCTAAAAGCGAAAAACAAGTCTTCTAAACGAATCTGAATGGACATAAACGAAAGGTGCTGCTCAATCACATCATTGATTGAACTGAAATGGAATCGAATGCTCTGGTAGCGAAAATAAAACGCGTGTTCAGAGCGATTCTCAAATTCAGACGAAAATGAATGACCGATTTTAAGAAGTGAATGAACATTTTAGGAAATTGGCCGAGAAAGCCTATTTTGTAACGTACATTTTCAATAAATACATAAATTGCAATTTAAACAACACAATCTATTTTTGGGGGTAGAACTCAAAAATAGCAAGGGAGACCAACTTTAAACCATAACCATGCATTGAATGTCTAGGTTTGTACTTTCAAACACCATTCGTAATCCTCAAGCTGAAGAAAATACTACACTGTAAAACCGTGTGTTTAACTTCTCAACACAAATATCACATATCTGTAACACATATCTGTAACACTTTATAAACGTTTTGACGCGTTTATAAATCAACACTGAACACATTATGTTTAACTTCTGAACGCAAATATAAACGCATATCTGTGACACTTTATAAATGTTTTGACGCGTTTATAAATAAGTTTACACATTTGATGACAACATTTTGAATTTAGCGACACGAACAATCATTGAGAAATAAATGGCAACACGTTCATTTTCCGTTTACTTTTCATTTTTTTTTTATTAAAAGTCTTATTAAATAATCAGTTGTGGAAGACAATATAAAGAAAAAAATCTCATAAACACTTCTTTTATACAAAGAAAACAGTTAGCACTGAGTTGCGTACAGAAATATAAATGTGTAAAAAATATCACTTTGAACGTTCCACTGCACATCACACATCACAAACCACGTCACAGCAAGCCTCATTGTAATCGTGTTAATTGTAGAGGGCGCCCCACCATTTAGGAAGTTCCTGTTAATAATCGTATAGGAAAGGGGAGTTTCTAGTTAATAAGAGAAAGGTTAACGAAAAGTATCTCTTTTGTCTTGGTTAAAAACAAGTCGATATAATATAATTTACCACAGGGAATTAGCCCCACCTTTAAGTACATGTTTATATCGTTTGTTAAAAGGATTATTGTTAGTTTCAAATAAATATGTTCAGAAAGTGGATAACAACTTTAAGTATGGGTGTCAAATTTGGTAATATTAATGTTTTGCGACTTTAATTCCATGTCATAACGGCACTGTCGTCCAGATATATGGGGTACCGATTGGGTTGTAGCCTGTTTTGTTAACTGCGTGAAAATTTAGATATCATGCCGGAAAATTGTCAGTATTGGAAAAATTAACAATCTTAATGTTCTGTGGGCTTAAAGTAACAAGCTGTTTTCGAGACACAATTACTTTCGAATGTGGATTTCTTAACATGTTTGGTTTGAATTGTATCGCTGCGTCTGTAAACAGGATTCGAAATTCGGTTATCTCTGGTCCTGATCCCAACCCCACGGTCGCCAATGAGGACCCATGGCTAAGGTTGATGGATTTGGCAAAGAAAGACCATTCGCGAACGGGCCGTTGACGCCACCACCGTAGGCAGAGGGCGCAACGTACAGCTGCATTGGTAGCGAGGCTGGGGCGTAGACGACGCCATTTTGGTTTCTTGTTTCCATAGCTACCACGCTATTTGGAGCGCTTGACGGATTTGAAGGTAGTACTGGAACGCCTCCTCGGTAGGCGTGGACAGACGACGGAGAGGGCGTTGTTGGTGCCACTGGTCTAGCACTGTTAGGCGCCATGTTGGTGGGATTTCCTAAATTGGGGCTGGGCACAATGAATATCGGTCCCGCCCCGACACTGCTGGAACTGGTTGCACATTGGTTGTCGAGTTTCGAGCCTCGCACAGGGGCGGGGCTTGACGAGGACACGCCCACTGACCCGGCAGGAAGTGCCACTGAGGTGGTCAGTGCCCTTTGTTGGACTACCCCGGGGGAACCGCTCTGCTGGTGGTACAGGGGGATCACCTGGCCCGTTGCAAACTGGCCGCCGACGAACGAGCCGAGGAGGTGAGCCGGAAGGACCAGGGCGACGTGACCTGCTGGGGCTTGGGGGATATTCACCGGGAGTGTGACCCCGGGGTTCGCTGAGGCCAGCGGTGGGACGCAGGCTGCGATCGGGTGCTCACCCTTCCTCGGAGATTGCTGGACGGGGATAGCGTTATTGGCATTGGCACCGGCCTGCAGCTGGGAGCTCATGGACGGGGCGGTGGGTGGTGGTTGGGCCGGGGGTAGCGGTGGGACCATGACTTTGGGTGGTGTGGCGAGGGCTTGTGGTGACTGTTGCACGATGGTTGCAGCACCGGGTGCCAGCGCCGGGCGATCGGAACTCGGCCTACCGTGATGAACCACGACCTCCCGGGGCACGATACTGCCAAGTCCCGGTCCAAACTGCCGATGCCCTGGTGGTGCGCTGGCGCTCCAGCCATTGCTGCTGTTGTTGCTACTGCAGGAGCCCAGAGATCCCGCAAGGTGGTTGAGGAGCCCCGAGCGCGTTTCGACGTTGAGGGCGCTGTTGTTGGCCTCCATGAATCGACTGACTTCGTTCAGGCACTCGTTGAAGCCCGCCCGATACTGCGCTTGGGGAATCGGTTCATTGGAGATTCCTGCGTTCAAAATATGAAATTAAAATTTATTAGATAAAAATAAGCATTATTCTCTTCTTCCCCTTAAAGATTCTTACAGCTGTGTATTCATAGAAAAGGGTTAAAGGAAGACCCTTTTCATTCGGGCTTGATCGAATAAATTATTTCTAAACCTTCAAATGGGACACAAAGGTGCATTTCCTAGGATTGCATTGAAACAATTACATTGCATGGGCCCTTTAAAAATATTGTGGTAATATTCTATTCAAATTCCCTTCAAGTAATTATTTGACGTGATGACAACCATTGTTGGGTGGAGTATTGAGGATGTCGTTCAAAGTGGTGTTCGGAATCCTCGAACACGGTCGTCAAAAACAAATAAAGCGCGCATTAAAAATGAGGGTGATACACCCCGTGTGACTCTCCATGAGAGACGTGGTAGTGAGAAGAACCAAGGGCATTTTAATTTGGTGCCTTTTTGGTTTATTTTATATGCGAATGCCAATTGGCATAATGTGATGTGATTTCAGGCAGAAACCCCAGCACCCGTTGCCAGCATTTTGGACGCTTTGTTGTCGCAGATTGTCTTTTCTTCTTATGAGATTCGTGATTGTGTCACGTCAGAACATGGCCGGCAGTAACCCAAATGAGCAAACTTTTCTCACTAATGTTTTCAGTGAGCACTACTTTTAGGTTCACAATTTGAACAGAAACTCCTAAACTGAACAGTGTCTTCCTGAAATGACATCACAGCATCAGCGCCCTCAGCTGCCGGGAAAAGCATATTGTACAAAAAAAAAAGTTTAAAGAAGTGCACTTTTCAATAAAATTAACAAAAAGAGGTTGTCAAATAGTTTTCATACATTTAAGAGGAGTAGAAAGTTGCAAAAAATGTGTTCCTAAGAAAAATTCACCTCACCGACCCTTTATAATCCTGCCAAGTCAATCAAACTAAATCTACCGAAGGGGACAAAGAGGTCACTCTGTCCATAAGTGGACAAACAATATCTTGAATGTTATCTCTTCCCCTTAATCCGGGGCTGGAGCAGATTAACACAAGGGCTAAGCACACAAATCTGATCTTTACATGAACAAATCTGTCTTTTTTTAATCCGTTTGTAATCATTCCGTGTCAGCGATTATAGCAGTGCAAAGCCCTCAGATACTTCCCGTGATCACTTTGTACTTGGGCCAAGTGAGCATGCGCGATCCTGTGGGAAAGCTTAGCAACCAGCGGTTGAGCATTGTGCGTGCGCATGCGCAATACATATGTGCATACAAATTGATCACGAGGACGAGTCACGCGACCTATGCGCCAGTGACGTGTTTCGGATATTGTCAGTCATTTTATTGCAATTATAGAGCGAAGCTGACTAGGGATAGAATACCATGCTTAATAAACTACAGTTTTCTATTTCTAAAACCTTGTTTTGTCCCCCCCCCCCCCCCAATGTAACTGTTCAATAAAGACTTTTGAATAGGTTGGTATAGTTGCGCGTGCAATATGAGCAGGATTTGAAGGTCTGCGCTTCTCGGCTGGAGACGTAGACTAAGTTGACCTTTGACCCCTCGATCGACCCACTGGGAATTTCCCCCTCTTCCCCCGGTGTCTGTCATCTCCGGTTTATGTGCCGATCATCTCGTGGCTGTTATACTGAATCTTCAAAGCATAGAAGGCCATTAACCGCTTTTCATGCAAATTTGTTCGTATTGTTCAAAACCTAACCTGTTGAGCTCGTGGATATTATTACACTTTTTGAGATAATAGTGAAAAAAAAAACCTGCACAAAACCTATAAGACGATCTTTAATCCAAGTAAGCTTTTAGATAATTAAATCGGTCGGTTACTTTTAGGGTAGATGCACAAAATGATCCTAGGGCTTTAAGCTCACGATGCTAATCTTCAGCTCATTCAAAATGGCCACCCCCCCCCAAAAAAAAATAAAAATCACCGACTATAGTTGGGACTTGAAGAAGGTAAGCCTTTATAGAGAAAAATAGATGACCGTCATCGGGTATCCTTGGGAAACTAGATGTCGTCCACCAGAAGATAAACCATTTCCATTCTTCTCCCTCACGCCTTTTTTTTGGGGGGGGGGGCGGAGTGGTCTCGGGCCAGAGGTGGACCGGGACCGTGGCGAAAATGTTCGCGATCGATCCCCACTTTGCTAATTTAAAAGTCTATGCGATTATATGGCAAGAAAAAGGTCATTCCAAAATATCGTGTTTTCAATTCAGACCTTATTCTCAGGTTACTGGGTGTGAAATAAAATTTAAAAAGGGATTGTATTTTTTTTTTTCAAATTCCAGAGTGGGCCTACCTATTTGGTCTTGACGGCGAAGACGCTTCACAAGTTGAACCGTTTGCTCCAGTATCTCCGCCTTCTCTCTCTTGGAATGGCCCCCCGTGGTCTGGAAAACAATTACATGGGGAGTTTAACCATCGAACATGAAACTCATGGCCAGGGCTATAATTAGCACAATCTCTACACCAAACCTCCTGTATACAATTCCCTACAGGTGGAATATTTCGGAGGACCACCAACCAAGTACCAAGTACATAATCTCAAAAGCTCCGGGTCAGAATAGACCCCATATCCAGTTCTATATTTGACCTAATGTCACTTCTGTGGAACATTTCCCGGGTCATTTTGACCCCGAAACCTTGGTAAAAATGTTTTTTTTCTCAGAAAAATGTTACTCTGCATGACCCTTGCAAGTATCAGGTCAAAACAGAGCAGTGCAGGCCAGTAAATAGGCCTGAAATTACCCAGTATACTACGAGGTTAAGCCATAGCGCCGGCCAAATCACGATTTGCATGCCCTCAAATTCTCTGGTTTTGGAGAATTTTGTGGGCCATATGAACTTGAGGGTTTGTAAAAAAAAAATGAAGAATGGTGGAGCCGGGAACAGGACTGCAAGCTCGTATATTTCTGTAGTCAGATGAAATTGGGCCTCTTTATTGCTCTATTTTGCAATGGAGCGTAGGCATCCTTTTCCAAAATGGGGTTGGGCTTCATGACTACTTTTGGGGCGATCATCTTTGGATGGAATTTTCTCCCAGAAGTCATCGGATTTTAAACCCAACAAAAATTGAACAGAAAATGAAAGATGATGATTTAAGCTTTAATTTGATGTGTGTCTCAAACACCTTTGAGAGTTGTGAGTATTTTTTCATAATTTTTGGAAGTGGGTATTATCACTGATGTCTATATAACAGTTTATTGGTCTGCAACCTTGTGTATTGTATATGCCGATGTGATGAGAAATGTTAATATACTTCCCGAAGTGTGATCATTGTTTCCCTGTACTCTGTTCATGATGGATTTGATGAAAGTTGAGGAATGGCTCGGCAAGATGATGTATACTGCTGCTTGAGAGAAGACTAATGTAGAATACATGAAGTGTTTTGTAAAAATTGTGTGCCTATCAAGCCATTTATAATGGCGTAGCCGTACTTTCCTCGCCTTCCACCGCTGTGACCCGGGTTCGAATCCCGCCTGGGCCAATATGTGGATTGGGCTTTCAGTCCATGCCTGCTTCCGTGGATTTCCCCAGAATATTCTTCTGGGCTTTTCCTCCCACCAGTAAAACTGTAACTTCTTCTCATATGTCTTCTCTCCACAGGTTTCTTCAGGCTTGCGAGCTACAGTGCCCAGGGAGCTTTTGAGGAATCCTTGGTTTCATTACCAGAAATGATTAATATTATGACACTTATCCGTCATTCAGTGAAGTGAAAAGCCATTGAAACGAACATTGACAAAGGCATTCCTGACGCACTGTGTCATGACTGGTGATTATGACGTCAACTCGATCACAATAGTGCTGTGTTCTTGTTTATTGTTACTTCGTCTGTCCGTCTGTCTGTGTGTCGGACTGTATTTGTGTGTGGAATGGTCGGCCGGTGGCCGTTTGGTTTTCCGTTCTTTGGTCGGTTGGTCGTCGAATTGTTTGGTTTTTTTGGTCCTCTGTCGTAATGTAGGACGGTTGAAGTAACTTTTCCACCCTGAATCCGCCATAAACTCGAATATTAAGGGTCGTGTATTTCTTCCTCATCAAATGAACCGCAGAGGCAAACGCGTTTTTTTTCTTCAAAAGGGTTTTTACTTCCGGGTCGGGACACGACACAACAAAGCGACCTTGTTTGACATGCGCTGTCAAACTTTTCACTTCTCCGCAAAGTATACGTGACGAATATGTGACTGAATTCACAATAACATTCTTGCACCGCAAAACCGTAATCAATAATAATAGCCCACACGTCATCTGCCGCCCCCCCCCCCCAAAAAGTGTTTGTATATTTATTGACACGGTAGGCCTACTCAATAATAACAATAGGTGCCAAGATTATTGTTGGCGTTTATCTATACCGGCCGCCACTTTTAATATAGGGTCGAGTTTTCGTTCCCCGTAGACCTTGACTCGCCACCTCGCACGGTGCGCACATGACTGTTGTTTGATAGATAGATAGATAGATGTAATTATAATTTTTTTTTTTTTGGAGAGGGGTGGAACTTGAGAATCATGGCAATCAATGGCCCCTAAATCATGTACTTTTGGAGTGCAAAATCAACACACGGGTGCGTTAAAGTGACGTTCTCCCGCCCCTGTTTTTTTTCTTTTCTTTTCTTTATTATACATGTTGATTTACTCAGGAATATCCACAGACCATTCTTGTAGTTATAGTGCTGTAAATACCGACATTTTCTCATAACTAGCCGAAACGGCCCTGTACGTTTTCTGTTGAATTACAGACACAACTCGTGTTCTCTATACATCCGCAAGGGAGGTTATGTTTTTACGGCGGATTTTGTTGGTTGGTTGGTTGGTTGGTTGATTGGTGTGTCTGTTAACAAGATAACTCAAAAGTTGTGGACAGACTTTCATGAAATTCTCTTTAGGGGTGGTCCTTGGTATACAAGTACAATCGATTAGATTTTGGAAGTGATCCGGATCTGGGTCTGGATCCAGGATATTTTTGTAATGGATTCTTCACCATTTATGCGAGTATTTCTTTTGGGTGTACTGACAATGTGGCGGGGAATTGTTTAGCCTTGGCGAAGGTTTGCGCTCTCTGGGTGCTCTCTAGTTTATTATATGCATTTATTTGGAAAGAATACAGAGTAGGCCTAATCCTGTTTTCGGTTACCCGAACACTTTCGATTTGTAACAAACACTTTCGGTTTGTAAATAAACAAATCCAGGGAGTATATTTTCTTTTTCTTCCAAATCGGCAAATTGTTGAAAGACAGTTTGAAGTATTTCGACCACGAACCGCCTTTAAAAAAGCAACAGACCAAAAGACTATAGACAAGAAGTGCATGTAGGCCTACTGAACTTTACTTTTTTTTTCTTGGGTCATGTCTCTTATAATGTGTTGAAAAAGCAGCTTTTGTGGCATCCAGTGTGACATTTAGCAGCAATCTTTTAATCTTAAAAGTATTCTCTCTGAGGTGACGCCGTAGAGATATTTCTTTACCGACGTATTGGTTCCAGATAAGAAAAGTAAAGAATACGAAAGTGAACCGCATGAGATTAAAGGTAATAAACAACATTTGCATTTTGCAAACATCAAAAAAAAAAAAAAACTAAATTATTATGAAATACCTTTACTTGACTTTAGGTGAATAATAGTCTCAAGCATCCTGTGAAATATCATGGCACCTGGTGTGCTGTCATTTTAAAGAAAAGTGGAATTTTTGTATTCACTTCCAAAGATGGTCGGCCGACCATCGTTGACTGACTCATTTTTTTCTTAAATTACTACCCCCAATTTTACCAAATTTAGTTAGTACACATATTGTTTGCAACTCGGTTAATACACTTGAATTCCGGGAATGGGCGCAAGCCAGCTATAGTCTGGCTCCCTGACCTGACAATTCCCCCGACGTCTATAAATTGCCCCCTTTCGTAGTAGGGTCAGGGAACCAGACTACAAGAACGGCATTTTTTCTTGGTTTCCCAGCAACTATCATCACAAAACCTTAAACAACAATATTTGCTATTAAGTACTAACCCCCCAATCCATCAATTTCTGAAAATTACTGCAAAAGCAAATGTTGTATATTACCTTTAAAGTATGTTGAAACATGCAATCGCACTACATTTGTGCGGTTGTATAAAAGCGCCCTCTATTATTGGAAGCTACTAAGATGCCCCCCCCCCCGCCCCCAACAACAAATTTTGATGTATTCGAGGTTTTCGTAACCTGGCTAAAAACACACAAAAAAATGGTTCTCCTATTTCACCCCCCCCCCCTATAATAGACCCATTATCAACATTTTGATAGCATGCCAATATTGGTATATCGGTGGCATTGAACATAACCTTTGTGGCCTAAGGTCAGCCATTATAATAGATATCGAACTCTATAGACCATTCTTGACACGAAATAATTTATGAAGCAAACGGGTTAGAATTGTAAAGTTTTACATGTAAATTTGAGGCATGCAATGGTACAGTGTTAATGTTTCAGTTTTATGCTGTGAAATAAATTTGACTTTGTTTAATAAGTCACTTTCAATTTTAAAGCAGGATCGTTTGCAATTTACTCGGAAACATATACTGATTTCATATCAGAAACCTTGCTCAAAACGAAGATATAGGACAGGTGTCAAATACCCTGTGAAATTATTCAGTCTGAAATATGTATCTTTCGAAAAGAAAAGAACAAAACCATTGAATTGAAGGCGGTTTCAAATAGGGTTACCCGGCCCGCGGCACAATTGTTTTACGTGCATGCATTTAGAGCAATGGGAATCCGTTTTTTTAATACGAGACCAAAAACATTGTGCTGTGTTTTCTCAAAATTTGTAGTATCCACTGAGCCAAAACTCCAACAGGTTAGTTTTTACGCGCCTAACTTAAAGGTATTATACAACATTTGCTTTTGCTGTAATTTGCAGAAATGGATGGATTTGGGGGTTAGTATTTTATAGCAAATAGTGCTACACTGACATGCATGTTTAAAGTTCTGTGTTCATAGATGCTGGAAAACAACCCAAGAAAAAATTCTGTTCATGTAGTCTGGTTCCCTGGCCCTACTTCAGACGAAACGGAGCAATCTGTCGGGGAAATGTCAGGTCAGGGAACCAGACAACTAGCTGGCTTGCACCGGTTCACGGATGTGTTACCCATTTGTGGACTAAACAAATGTGGTAAATTGTGGGTAGTATCTGATAAAAGTCCATTTTTTTCCCAACGATGGTCGGCCAACCATCGTTGGAAATTGATACAAAAATTCCACTTTTCTTGAAAATGACAGCCACCAGGTGCCATGATTTCACAGGATGCTTGAGACTATTATTCACTTACAATCAAGTAACAGATTTCATAATAATTTGGTAGTTTCGTTTCTTGGTATTTTCAAGCTTTAAGTTTTCGAGCATTTATGTTGCTTCAAACGAAAACAATGCGCAAAAAGCAAATGATCCAATGTAAACCTTACACATCACTGAGGCCTCAAACTGTTTTATTAGATGTCCAAGCAAAACTCGATTCATAAAAAACAAAATGTGATTCTGTTTTTAAAGTCAGCTTTCCAAAAGTTTCTGATACGTACCTCCTCCTGGCCGTTATTGGCAGTCTCCAGGATTCCTTGGAGATCGGTCAGGCACTCGTTGATGCGGGCCCGTCTCCGCTTCTCCATCTGCGGCTTGGAGGACTGAGAGTCAATTTGGAGAAGGAACAAAAGGACAAATATTGTCAAAGTTAAAGGACACAATCTGCAAACATTCAAAAATGCAACTGACAAAATATCCTACCCGATTGTTAGTAAATAATAGTAAATGCATCCTGTGAAATCACTGCGTCTACTATGCTGTCATTTCGAGGATATCAGAAGAAATACCATCATTTGCTCGCAATAGGGGCAAAACCATCGCACTTCTAACCGAACCTAAGCTTTGTGTCGAGAAAAATGAAGATTTGTTTGCACAGTTTTCTGAAAAAAGTAGTATGACATCCATAGGCCTACTGAGCTGAAATTTCGACAAGCTAGCTTTTTAATAACCTGCTTCAGATATATTGTAATTGTTCCTCGAATCGGCAAAAAAACCTTTTTTTGCAAATGTTGTGAATAATACCTTTAAGTTTTAAAATTCTCTCAGTTTAATGCAGTTTCCTTGTCAGTTTGCACACTTTCAGTTTTTCTTTAAGAGAAAGACTTTTATTGAGCCACCCCCCCCCCCTCCGGATTCTAGGCATATTTGTATGCTGTCCGCAATATTGATGACAAAATTGATTCACGGTGCTTGTAAATTTCAATTGAATTATATTTCTTCAAGCACGGACTAGGCCCTACTCGTTTAGGTAGTTTTAAAGTCAGAATTTTTACGCCCTTCCGACTACATTGTTTTTCAATGTAGGTTTGAAATATGCAGTTTGTTGTATTCAACTCAATTTTGCGCGAGAAACGTCTGTTTTCACTTGCCAACGTGGCTCGATAGAAATAACATGACTCATCCTGCTATTCATATCTGCGTTATTTCATAAATATAACCGGCAATCACTGAAGAAAAAAAAACACTTCAGATAAAACATCCATCCCCTCAAAAGAGGAAAATAGTGCCAAAAAGTTTTAGAATAATAACATGCCAAACTTTCAGATACACACAATCTATGCAGCCACACCTCTGAAAAAATAAGGGCGCTTTCCCCACTTTTTTGCCGCGCACTTTAATTTTTGGGCTGTTTCCCTGATAACCTTTCCACTTTCCCAGATAGAATTGAATAATGTTTAAAACAATGCACTCTATTGGTCTGTCCCCGTCATAAGAAAGCAGTTGAGGCACGGCTTTCCACCCAATCAGAAAGCCTCAAAGATGAGGGTGTTGGATTTCCGGACGACGGTATACGCGGGCAAGCGTCCAGCCAGCAGCCTTCGTGCCGGCACGCGACCGTCGCGCGCTTTCGCCACCGTCAAACTCATCTGCCGGCCCCACGACAACTTCCGACGAAATTCGGTCAACGCATCAGCCGGGGGAAAAACGCTCATTATACAGCTACACAAATTTTCATCATCAGTTTATTAACTGTTTGGTGTTTAGCCAACAAGTTGAAATAATATTTTGCTGTTCCATCATTTAATAAATAACAATTTTGTCCACGTCCACATGAGACACTAACTTTCTTGGCTTTTAAAGATGTGGCACAGTCTTTTAAATCACATGTTGAAGAGCTGCATGTAGAGTAAAATTATTAAAAAGTTAAAGAATAAACAATAGAAGTATATACCTTACGCTTCTCTTGACTTTTTGATGTCCTATCCCCCGCCATTGTTCAAACCGGCAAGTTGTCATCAAGCTGATTTCACTGAATAAACACCATAACCAAGTTCTTGGGAAGGGAAAAAAACTGTTATTATTATTATTTGTGCCAAAAGTATTTCACCTGTTGTATCGGAATGCGATATGTTGGCTTGAATGCGCGAGCGGTCTGACGTGAAATAAAAGGGGTGCGTGCCGTTGGCCCACACAACTACCTCCCCCTAAAACCAAAGGTTCTATTCATACGGTCCCTTGTCTGTTCAAATCTATGCCCGTGTGAAGTCAGTCTCGCGACATTTCCCACGCTTTGCCCGGCCTGAATTCCGACGCATTCATCCCCGTATCGCACCGGCTAGGCCACACGCAACGCATGCCAAAACATGAGGGGCACACACACACAGTACACACGTACTCGGAAAAGAAAAAAAAAAGAATGGGAAAGAAAAGAAAAGAAAAGGAGGCCTCGCGAATCGCACGATTAAGACGCCGCTCGCGATTGGCCGAGTGGCACAGACCTCGCGAGGCGCTGTCTCCAAGCGGGGCCGTAACGCGGCCGCTGATTGGCCAAAGGTTTTTTTTTATTGCGGCGACACGGTTTTTATCAATGGGGCCGTGGTTGTCTTTTAACAATGACTTGCCGGCGTTGTTTGTCGCACAGGTGTTGGTTGCAGTTTTTTTTTTTTTACCTGTAATGCACGTGCCCTGGCTATTGTTCCCACCGGTATCTGTGTACCGTGCGGTGGGCGCGGGTCCCGTGGGCGCTCGCGGTGCAACCGCGGTGACTTCTTCTGTTCGTGCCGGCTTAGCTGGCAGTGCAGACAGTAAACATGTTGCCGACTAGACTAAAAAAAGATAAACTCGTTAAATCTGTGCGGATTAAGGAATTAAGCCTGCTCTATAATCCCTGTGGGAGCGTGATCGGAACATCGGACGAACCTTGTTCACAGTAATTTTTCTTGTGCAGACGAGAGTAATTATAAAGATTTCAAAGTTGTCAACAGACAGGAAACGTGTATTGGACTTTTTACATTCCTTGAGAAGTCTCTTCATTAATTTTTTGGGGAAAATTTAACAACAGTCATGACTCATTCTGTTTGTCGCCGTCTTTTGTGCATGCAGGTAAAGAAATTCTGGAGTCGACAAATTTTGATTTCAAACCGTCATAATACCCATTGTGAAAAAAAATTCCGCACGTCAACTAACTAGTCTCGAAACCTGTCATGATAATTATTATGCCAGAAATATGATTTATATCTCAAAGGCTTCCCTTTTGGGTTTTGCGGGTTCCGTTTTGCTGCATGGACTATTTCGTTTTTATTACGTGATCAGCTGATCGTTGACTGTGACTATACTGCCAACATATTGCTCATAATATTTCCCGTATGACAGTTTAACGGCCTTTAACAACGGGTAATTTACAGCCTGCAAAGTGGTGTTAAAGGGGCAGATTGGTCCTATAGATTGGGGGCTAAATTATGAAACCCTGGATTACTTTTAAAGAAATGGGGGGTGGGGGTGGGGGCGTTGACCATAAACGGTGACTTTTTGTGATAGGTTTAAAGGCTTCGTGACATGATGGAGATTACTTTTGAACATATTAATAATATTTCGAAACGTCCATTTTTTTGAACTGTTTGAAAATAACGAGACATGGTTTATTTTTTATTTCAATACTTACAATGTCCATGCTGTTATTCTGTCAACTGAGGGCGGTATTGCTGTGACGTCACTTCAGGCACACACTCAGTTCTGTTCGCGTTTCCAACCACAAGTAGGCTATTGAAAGTTAGCTCATCAAGTTTTCTCAGTATACCAACTCATAAGTATTATTTTTTTTAAGTGCAACCATGGAGGAATGGTGCAACCATCTCTTAGTACAAACTGGTTCGATTGTAATGGAACTAATTATCTAAGCGTAGTATATTGAGCTTGTAAAACTTAGAAATAACTCTTTAGCTGACAGGGTGAATTGCAAGCATCGAGAGTGCTCCTTTAACCTGAAATATTGTTGATTTATGCGTTTGCTGCTGTCTGCCGCCACGCCACGCAGGTAGGCGTGTGTAGCAGGGATCATGCCAACCTGCATGTACTTACTAGGTGTGCGCGAGGCGGTGAAGGGTCCTTGATAATTTCATTGTATCGACCGCTAAGGCGTGGGAAATGCAAACAAATTGACTCGAGCTACCTGACCCACTCAAAAAAAAAAGGTAGCCGAAAAACCGATCGGTTTCAGTTTCACTTGAAGACAAAACGTGTTTTTCTTGCTTTGTCAAAACTGCTCGATTTCCGCAGCATTAGCTCAAATTCAGGAATAAATTATGTGTTTTGAAGCATGTAGTTTAACATTGATTGTCGTGTACTGTACTGTATATAGCGCTTTCACTATATTTTGTCCAAGTTGTATGGGGATTGTCTGTATTTACTAATCTGTTACAAACATCGATCAAATAAAATAAAGTAATAAAAAAACTGGCAAACTTGACAGCATTTTAATTGTCAGATTTTGGTCATTTAGTTTTTCGTTTTCCTTATTATTTTGTCACGCTTTAAGGGAAGGAACTACGTCATCAGGCGTCAAGTTACGTGACACTAAAGGTACATTTTTCAAAGCCCATCTTCTGAAGTACAAGTCTGATTGGGTTGATTTTTTGTAGGTACATACATAAGGACGTGTTACAGATGAAAATTGAAGTCACGTCGTCGTGATGACGTCATTACAAGTCATGTGACGTCACATCAAAGGGGCATTTTTCTAAGGCCTATATCTAAAGAACTATAGGTCGGATGTGGTTGTAACGTGATATGCACCTAAACCAGGATGTGTTGCAAATTCAAGTGACGTCATCATGACATCATTACCGAAACAGTTGGTGTTTGTCCACAGACATATTTCTAGTTCTTCTTGATTTTCAGGTTTTCAGGAAAAATACATAGATGCGGTTATGGGATATTGAAAAAAACACTTGTGAATGTGAGCTTGTTGCGTGTTCATCGTGTAAAGAACAATTCTGTCAACGACTATTAAAAGTCCCTAACCGCCCTGAATCCTCCAAAATCCTTTTTGCAAATTGGAGGAATTTGCAGGATTGAGGTTACATGGCCAAAGTGCGTTGCTGATTTCGGAGTACGCACTGTGTCAAGGTCTTGAGCCGGACCTTGTGTTGTTTATGCTCAGCCGTGCATAAATTTAGTCCTTGGTTATACTTGACATCCTCCGCACTGCTCCAGGATGTCACTGCCTCTGCCTCAGCCTATTGACAGTCGTCATAGCCGGAGGATTTTGCAGGATTCAGGCAGTGGTCACCCCTCCATGGACCATATTCAAGAAACAACGGAGGAATTTGCAGGATTGAGGCTATATGCTATTTTTCCATGAGGCCAATTGGAGGATTTTGCAGGATTGAGGCTACATCCTAGCAAAAAGGCCTAGGGAGTTGGGGTTCTGTACAAGGAAATGCAACGACCTCAGAATCATCCAAATCTCGCTTGTGTAGTGACCAGCAAAATGTACACGACCTTTAAAAAAACAAATTTACAATATTTTCAAGTGAAGTACATTGTCCGTGTGGAAGTTGCGATTAATCCCATCGAGCGATGATGAACCCAAAATGATGAACTACACGTCCAATTGTTTTCTGCGCTCCTTTGCAAAAAAAAAAAAAAAACAAAACAAAAAAACCCAAATCATTGACGACACCAAATAGATAGTGTTTGTGTGAACAAGGCTGATAATAATGCATTCTATGTCATGCCTGGCAAGTCGGTCCATTCTGTTAGCGTGGGAAAAGTAAATGAGTCACGAGTTAATTGCCCTATCCAGGGAGAGATAACGTCTTATCTCGCAGATTTTATGGGCTGAGATTGCAGCAAGCAGCAGTCAATAGGGTTCAACAGGTACGGAATGTGAGAAGAGTTGAGATTTGTGTCCAGGGGAGAGGCGGGTCGCAATATTTTTTTGGGGGGGGGTGGGTGGGGAGTTAGGGTTTGGTTCAGTGCAATCTCGTCCCCAGGGCTTACTTTATTTCAACCTCGTTTCCAATAGTAAGCCGTGGGATGGGAACTTGCTTCCTGTATCCTGATTCGATAGCGCAATTAGCAATTAATGGATTTATATCGTGTACTTGGTGTTGTTATTTTCAACGTGTATTACGTGTTTTCACGTTTATTGTAATTATTACGTCCACACCTTCTCAAAAATAATGCTTTCCTTCCCAATTTGCTCAAATTAATATGAAATGTGATACTGCATATTGGCTGGATAAGATTGCAACATTTTCAAAGTTGTGTTTCTGTAACTCACGTCGCGACGAATTGATTCTGTTTTTACCCCAGACACCACATACAAAAACAAACGCTGATGCAAAAGCACAGGCAGGCACCAGACCATTCCTCATTTTTGCATACGTATCCAAAAATGTTGGATATGCAAATGATCAAATACCAGGGTGAGAGAGAAGGTAGTGGTGGGAGCGTACTGCAAGACACCCTGGGAACGAGGTTGATTTCAGTGCGTACCCGAAATGGCCGGTATAAAGGCCTTGGATTTTAGGCCAATTGAAGATGAATATTCCATGCTCTTCGAAAAAGTGGATTTTATTCTCCAAACGAATTTGCAATATTTGCATGTTTCGTTTTAGGCCTAACGAATAAACACACACAACATATTATTCCGATTTTGGGCGTCTGAAAACCCTCTGAAAAAGAGCTTTATGATTTTGTACGCAAACCACCGGCTCTGTGACAGCCAAATTACTGTCTGGTAGCCAATAATTCGACTTTTTGAAGAATAATTCAATAACTGAACGTCGGTGGATTTTGTTTGTTTGTTTAATGTCTCATTCAAAAGTGAACATTCTATATTGCCACGAAAGTAGCAATCGAAACAAATATATACATATTTTTGAGGTGAGAAGTGACCGGGAATACGTCTTTTTTTTAATAGGCCCAAAATTGTCAAAGTCAACCAAATCACGATTTGCATGCAATCGATTTCTATGGTCAGTTTTGTGGCCGTGGTTTAAAGCGTCCAATATAAAGATCCAAACGGACTTTGAGATTTGATTTCTGAGAAATTTGGAATCGCACCCCATTTATATTTGCTCTGTTTGCAGTTTATTGGGGGGGGGGGGGGTCGTTGTTCGTAAGGCGATGGGCTTCAGGTGGCGAATGACCACAGCTAGAGAGAGAAATTACTGGATATCGTGAGTGTTGTCCTAGAAATCGCCTTTTTTGGGAGTGTTCCTTGATTTTAGGCATTCGTCATTGGTGTTTATTATTAGTGGTCTCCAATCCAAGTTATCGTTTTGGTTAAAATAGGCCGGGTGATGGGCCTGGAAGATTTCCCTAAAACGGACAGAGGCAGAAACACATTGTGCTTATAGCAGCGTCATGATGAAATTGTACTCTGATCTGAGTGAACCCTCCTGATAATTATTTCTGTGTTGGCGCAATAATGGAGAAAAAAATATCAGGTAGCCTACTTAAAATCGTCTGTTGTCAGAAACTGGTTTTTCAATTTGTTGACAGTTTGACCTGGTTTTTCATATTCTGTGGTTCTTTTAAAGGGAGCACGGACATGTCCTGCAAGATCTAGGTTGACAGATGCCCCAGTGAAATATGGCTAGCAACTAAATTCCTGATCACCCTTTCCCCTCTCAGTCTGAGACACAATGCGAAATCAGTGTGTTCAGCAAAATCAATCGCGACCTCAATTCGCTCTTTGTATACGAATCGCCATTCGGGAACGAAAGTGAGGCTCTCCTAGCTTGTTCTCCTTGGACACCATGTACTGTGGCGACGTAAGTGTTCAGGCGGACATGCTGTTTCCTCTTCTCTCTGTTTGTTTGTTTTTTCGAAACCCAGGCTTTGCTTCGTCTTCGGCTCAGTCGGCTTTGCCTCCGACTTCTTAATCACTGAGAGGCAAACTAAACAAAACTATTCCAACTTCCTTTAACAGGCACCAAAATGTAGCTGGAGTTTCAGAAGTTGGGGGCCTAAAATCCGTCCTTAAACCGAAGACGAAGCCGAAGCAAGTCGTTTCGAAACCGTGTACTGTGGACCCGCATTTGCGCCTTTTTGAGATATGACAGAGGGCGCTATTCGGTTTGGGTAAATTTGTGTGTATATGCAAAATTGTGTATATACAAAATTACAAAATTACAAAAATAACAGTTTGCTCTGAATAGCGCCCTCATTGTGTCCAACATAATTACAACAAAAAATGCTGATGCTTTGCCCTTATTTGTATTTCCTTCAAGTGCTCGAGTACTGCGATTTGAGTTTATCGAATCCTGTTAAAGCGGGCGTGAACCAGCGTCCAATCCTTAGGAAAAACAAAATTTTTTTTGACACGTCGACGGCAAAACACCTATTTTGAACGGCGCTATCGGAACACTCTTATCAAAATAACAGATGGCATCCAGTATTATTGTGGTTGCCTCCCAGGCAACACTCAAACAAATTGCGACAAATTGTTACTACGGGGAGAAGGAAACATACTCCTTTATTCTTAAGTGTATGGCAACCTCGGGCAGACATCAAATGTTGAATGTTTGCCGTGTTCTTACGTATTCATTGTTTTCTTTAGTCGCGCAAAGCCTGTTTGTCAATATTTGGCGACGGGGCTGCGCTGGCTGGCTAAAATAGAGCGTGTCTTTTCTATCATTCTCCCGCTGTCCCTTCAGGCCTTAGGGCCGTGGGAAAAGTGGCTGGAAACGACGGAATGACTGTTGAGAAATAAAAGTAGTTGAAGATGTCTGATTGAAGAGACGCTCATTGACTTGTAAAATGCGGGTTTTTTTTTTATCTGAAGTGGGCCTCTCTTAAAAAGCAACCTATTTAAGGGCGGTTGTTAAGGCTTAATGACTGCCGTGGGCGCCAACATTTCGAAAGCATTCTTTTGCTGTTGATGGCAGCAAAGTGGTGCTTATGGGACAGGGACACCCCTGGGACATCATCGTCCTCATCCTCCCGCACCCCCCCCCCCTCCCCGACACGCCTTAACCTGCTGGGAAAAAGGTCCTCTTGTGATGTAAGCTGAAACTGCCTCCCAAATCTTCCCAAATAGTTCATGTTCCCAGTATTCATAGTTTTTGTAAAGGAAAAACACCCTACTTCAGGGGCGGATGGGGGGGGGGAGGAGGCCTCCTGCTCTGACACCCTTTCCCCCCAAAAAAACAATATACATTGTATAACAATTATATAGTAACCTATCATGCCCGCCTGTCCGTAACATAAGAAATCGGACTTAAACTAATCTGACGGGCCTGACCTCCTGCAAACATTCCTGGATCCGCTCCTACACCTCCCCTTGAAATTGAGGCTAGTATACGCCTGTCATCCAATAACTCATATCTAATAGAAGTGGGGAAAAACCGAAACAAGCATGGGCCGACCAACCATCAGTATTATTGCTCATGCGGTGCAAGCTCAGCTACATTCCGACTGAAAAAAGATCACTTTAACAAAAATACTAAGTTAAACAAGAAAGAAATGTTTCACGAGCCCACGTTTCGTGAAAAAAACACCAATTGTGGAAAAGGATATAGCACAAGGTAAAATGAAATCGACATGCATGCAATGCATCTGAGCTGGACTTGTACACTTTGATCTACACAGTTCAAGTAAAAAGGTAAAGGGTGAAGGACCTTTATTAGCAGGAACCGAGTGCCCGTCTCTCTTTTGGTAGCGATTGGGCCAGACCCATGTAATATGCTGCTGTGGGGGTATCACCACACCTCTACAGCGAGTCTGTTACCTTCCCAGCATTGAATACCTGGGTTGAGAGGAGTAATTGAGGTAAAGCGCCTTACTCAAGGGCACAACACGCGGCCAAGGCGGCGGGGCTCGAACCACAACCTCACGATCATGAATCCTGTGCTCCACCGCTAGACCACACATGCAGTTCAAGTGGACTTCGAAGTTTGAGCTAAGTCACCTAATGCCACGCAACATATTGCCGTAATAATGAGCCAAAATCGACTAAAACACAATAATTACAATTAATGAAAAGCAACAATTAAAGATCAAGCAAGGTTTATAACTATCTTTCGCACCCAAACTGACGCCCCAACCCCCAATGCTTGCAACAATCGAACCACGATGTATCAAAATCGATAAAGCACGCCTAGATGCAATCAAGTAAATATCAGGTCGTCAACTTTGTGTTTTATTTTCGCAGCCAACAGCCACATTTTCTCGGTCGTTCAAAAGTGTACTCGTCACTTTCCCGCGAAAGGGACGCGCCCCATGTTTCTCACCTCCGCACACAATGCGCTGTTGACACAATGGACAATGTTTACCCTTGCCTCGTCCATTTGAAACTTTATGCTTGTTTTATTTTAAACAGATACAAATTTGTTCTTATATCCATATGTTTAGAGCTAGAGCTGCATCGATTTTCGGCATAAACAGTGAAAAGTGTCATCTCTCTGTCATGTTTTGACTGTTTGTTTAATTCAGGCGATGTCTGCGAGTTTTGATGGGCGCACACGAACTTGTTTTAAGTCGTGGACACGAACGTACACACACGCGCGCTGCAATTTTATTTCATTAAACGAAATACCAAGAGAGGGCGCTAGGCACAATAAAAAGTGGTCTTTATTATGACCAGCCTGCCCTTCCTTTAAATTTAAGAAACGTCTTAACAGTGTTCGATGGGAATCTGTTTCTGTTTTGCTTTTCATTTTGTGTTTATTTGTTTTGGTTGTTGATAGTTTCCTGTTTTTTCGAAGGAGGTGTTGCCGCGCCTAATCTTATGCCCCGGAAATATATGAGAACACCTATCTCAATGAACTTTTCTCATCTAATTCATTTAAAGGTAAGAGTAGATCATTTGCAGCTATCCAAACAGTAACCGTAACCGACAACATTATTGTGAAAAAGCTTACCTTGTTTAAAGATATTAATGACATATTCCTTCGGGCATGCTGTCATTTTGAAGAAAACAACAAAAGAGGGTCATTTCCAAAGATGTGTCAAGTGACAAACTTTTGGAAATTTCCGCTCATCCGTCCCCAGCCGTTCTAATTTGTAGTTCGTTTGCACTTGGGCAAATTCGTGAATGGGTGACAACTGGCCAGCTGAATGAACATGTCCCGAATGCTGATTTCGGCATTTAGTGAGGTTTGCGGTAAAACCATTTGGAATAAACCCTTTTGAGAAGTGGTTTTGAAAAGAATCGGTTGGTTGTAAAACTCGACGTGTCACGAGAGGGCGCAATTCAAATATGACTCGGCAGCTGTCGAATTGAAATCCAACTCCAGCATATTGTGTTTATGATTATATTTGTTGTAAATGTTTTCTCAAAATATACAACATTCACAGAGCTAAAAGTTGATCAGCTTAGTTATTAAGCCACCATCTTTAGTTTCAATACACTTGTGTTAGTTCAAATGAAAACAATGCACAAAATGGTCTAGCCTACCTAATCACAAAACTAAAACAAAAAACAACGAGAGACATGAACCTAAAGATATAAAAGAACACTATCAACAATTGTGCCCCGTGCTCTCCGGAAATAAAGACTTTTTTTTAATAACGAGTGTTTATTGTATTTGTATAATTTGTTTGAACAAAAACACTACTCTTTCCGATTGTGAGCATATGGTTTTGCGGCAAAATCTCTGCAAGAAAATAAGGTTTTCATTTTTGCGCCGGGTCAAATAATTCGAAGTTCAAATTAATTAGATAATTTTAACGTCCGTGGATGATTTCGTTCGATGGCTCATATATATTCGAAAGTGAATGACTTTTATATTGACATGAGAATTTTCTTGAACTGGCCCTTTTTGAGATCATAAAATAAAAGCGAGCGCCAGCGCGCGCGCTCGAGTCGAGGCCAGCCCAGCTATCCAGTTTTTGGAACAAGAGGGCGCCCTTCATGTATTGCACTGCGGTTTACTAAGTTACGAAAGTGGCCCGGGGTTCAGAAATCCGGACAAAACATGATTTCGCATGTTCGTAATTCTCTGTAAACGAAACAAAAGATGGAAGGACAAGGGGAGGGCGCTTCTAGCAGCAGTTTGCTTGGAGTGCTGGATTCACCGGCGTATTTATACCTGCTGACGATATTTGCATGTAAGTGTATAGCTTGACTTAGTAACTCCAGCTGAGCTGACAATCATGCTCATATTCATTCACATGTAGCGCTAGCCCCATAAATGTGGCCTATTTACTGGACTGCCTCCGTAAACATAGGCCACACATCCACATGTACAAAAAACGTGTCGACTTTGCCAAATTTTGATTTTCACATTTAGGCTTAGTTTTTAGGATTTTTTTTGCTTTAGAAGCATACTCACCCTATATAGGCTAGTCAGAAAGTGCTGCCTTTTTCAGATGTCTAATTTTCGTGAAATTTCATGTTGAAATTTTGATACGCAAACGTGTAAAAATGAATCTGGAAATTTCACGAAAAATAAACATCTGAAAAAGGCAGCACTTTCTGATTAGCCTATATAGAGGGTGAGAATGCTTCTAAAGCAAAAAACCTTCAAAGTAAGCCTAAATGTGAAAATCAAAATTTGGCAAAGTCGACACGATTTTTGTACATGTGGATGTGTGGCCTATGTTTACGGAGGCAGTCCAGTAAATAGGCCACATTATGGGGCTAATGTAGCGCTGGAGACATAACCTATTTGTTGGAGTGTGGTAGCAAGACCAAGAGACCCTAAAAAAAAAGGCCTCTAGAAAAATGGTCCATTTTCACCTTTATAATCCCACCCCAGATTCCATGGACATACCTCACACCATTCAGCAGTCATTCACGAAGCTAATGATCGACTTGAAACAGAACCAAAAAAAAAATAAAATGTGAAAATTGTTGGCGATTTTGGCGGCTTGTCCATAAAAACCGTCCAGTTCCAACGGCTGTCGTCCATCTTGTTTACTTAATTATGCAAATGAATGCATCACGTGATGATTATCGAAAAAAATTTGCACGATGTATGTGGGTACCACACCGCTTTCAAGCTCCGCTAGTGGGTTCAATTTTCGTCTGGTGCGTTGTCTAGCTTTCCACGACTGCTTTTCACGACAACGCACCAGACGAAAATTAAACCTACTACCGGTGCTTGAAAGCGGTGTGGTACCCACATACATCGCGCAAATTCCAGATTTTACCGAGCGATAATATTCCTCCCATTTCACAATTTAACATGTTTAAAGCCGCTCAATATTTGTTTTATAATTATATTGATCAGTGTCATAGCCTTGTCAGTTGATTGAACTTTCAGTTCAATACAAAATTGGTGGAAAATGTATTTCTCTCTTCCAAACCACCCCTTCACGAAAATGTTTTAACCCAACTCTGTAGCACTTGCTCTTTGGAACAACGCGCGCTACGCGAAACGCTCAACGCGCACACCAGCATGCATTTGCACGCAAATACCGGTACCACGTCATGGAACAAGAACGATCCTAACTGTTGAATAGTATTTCCCATTCCCCACGATCGAATGGGACTTTTTGAGCCCCGGCGTGAATGGGAGCAATAACGAATGTCACGTGATGTGAGTTCCACCAATCAAATGACAAGGATCTGTATGTCAGTTATATAATATCGATTATCCACCCTCAAACAAATATTTGTGTACACGACTTTCTTTGTCTGTATTATTTTTGTTAGGTTATCCTCTGACGTATATTTCTCGGACCTATTTGCACGGGCAGTCCCCGTCAGTCAAGCATGCCTACTTCATCTTCTGGGGCCTACTTCTCATGTTCGCCAACTTCGGTGAGAAACTGACTGAATTACATTCCAAAATGCTTACTGAAACCTCTAAGGTGTAGGGCTGTCCCAGTATACCCAAATATTGGATAATCAACCGAATTTTAGAATCTAGGTTTTTGCTAGTTTGAATATTAACCCTAACTCCCTTGGCCTTTTTTGCTACCGTAGGATGTATAGTGGAGCTGCTAAGCGAAAAATCGTGCACTTTGTGGTAAAAGCATGAAATTTGGCATGTGGGGTCAAAATGGGCTAAAAATCATTTTAAGATCGGGACCCATCCTGGATCTTGCCCATTTTGGGGGCGGAGCTTGATTTTTCAAAAAAGGGGGTGCAAACAATACAAACTCATGAAAACTGTATTTAACATCAAATTTCCTTGTTTTTTTACGCTTTGAAATAAACTTAAACATGACATATAACATTCTAGCATTCTAACACCTGTTCATTTTCCACCCATTTTGTGGGCGTGGTCTAAATGGTAAAAGAGGCGGTATATATTAGCAGTTTGGTTCTAATATGGAAAACATCATTCAGTTTGGTGGTAAAATTCTGAAAATTGGCATGTCCAATTGAAATGGGCGAACATAATTTTTAGAGGTGAACGCATCTTGGATCTTGCCCATTTGGGGGCGGAGCTTGATTTTTCAAAAAGGGGAGTGCAAAAAAAGAAAACTCAGAAAACTGTATTTTACATTCACTTTGTAAATTCTAACATTCTAACGTGTTATTTTCACCCTTTTGCGGGCGTGGCCTAAATATGTAAAGAGGCGGTACATTAGAGCAGCTTGATTCAAACGAGGGAAAATCATCATTTTTGCTGGTAAAAACACAACTTTTCTATCGGTTAACTATGTTTACCATACACTGTAAAGATAAGTTTAAACGGTTGCAAGACTAATTGTTGCCCTTTAGGGGTGGAGCTACATTTTAAAGTAGGCGGCTATAAAAAAAATCATATCTAAATTGTTATGATTGTCTACAAGTAACTTACACAGGGTGAGTCAAAAAAAGGAAACCCAAATGGCAAGACAAATTTGTTTAATGAAGTTCTGCATGTAGCACTATCAAAATCAAGATATGAAAGCCCAATTTATAAGCTTTGTTTTAGTACAAGAGTCATTCAAATCACTTATGTACTTTGCAAGTTACAGAATTTTAAACACAAACGCCGTCTTAAAAGTTCTGTCAGCAAAACGAAAACAATTCACATATAGGGGGATGCGCTGGAATTGTTTTCGTTTTGCTGAAAGAACACACACCATTTTTTGTGATACGTGGACAGAACTTTAAAACAGTGGTTATGTTTAAAATTCCGTAACTTGAAAAGTACATATATGAGTGATTTGAATGATTCTTGTACTATAAGAAAGCTTATGAATCGGCTTTCATATCCTAGATTTTGAAAGTACTACATGCAAAACGTTATTAAGAAATGGTCCCGCCATTTGGGTTTCCTTTGTTGTTCACTCACCCTGTATACTTACAATGGCGGCATTTCCTAATTGTGCATGTATTATAAACACTATGGGGATCATAAGGAGAGGGAGGGGAATTAGGGGCGGCCCAATGAAGGATTTCTTGAAAGTGCTCTTCTAATATGTTTAATATATATATCTATATATATATAAGAGAGAGTTTAACTCGGCCTCCGAGACGATGTTTGCTCATGAAAGGATCCGAGACCGCGGGCTCCCGCGGCGCCAAAATCGCTCCACGTCCGTGGAAAAATACGGAGGGTGTCTTCCGCCGGGTCGGACACTTCGGGTCGTCCTGATTTTCCCGTACGGACCGGCGATCCTTTTCGTCTATTTTTCGTGACAGCATTTTGCACAGGAATTTTCCGTCGTGTGCGCTTTCACGTTGACTGCCTGGCCGCCCCCTGTGCTGGCTTTTCTGCGAGTCTAGACTGTGCGAGGTCAGCGAGGTCAACGTAGGGGTTTCGTTTACGTGTTCTACTCAGCCGTACTGCCAAAGCGTTCACCAAATTGTGATATGGGGTGACCTTGGTAAAATATTTTTTCTTCATGGTGCGTGGCCACCGAGTGCCCCTATTCTTTCATATGCTTCGCTTGCCGCCCCTGCGCCGAGTGCAACGAATACTCAGAAGGACTACACATTAAGTATGCCTTGCACGGTCTGACCAATCGAAAGTCTACACTGCGTAGTAGGGTAAACTGGGGTAAAAACGCCCGATTTTTCAGTTTTTGTTAAATATCTCAGTACTACTTGGAGACACCAGGAAATAAATGTGTGGTTTTATGCAATACATGTCTCCTCTATCAGGTGCAAATATAAAATCATGGTCATAATATTGATAGGGGGAAATTTTCCCCCATTTTCGGGAGGAAGTTTGGCGGGCGTTTTTACCCGGGCCTCGGGGTAAAAACGCCCGCCCACATTTATAAAAAAAAAAATGGCTATACCTCAGGCTTCCCTGTAGTATAGTCATATTTTTGTAATTAATTTAATATTGAGGGATACTCCATCAAATACAAATAACTTTTCAAACACAACTGGTTAATTATATCTACAAACTTGATCATTTGAAACAGGTATTTTTATGTGGAAGGAAGCGGAACATTAGCGTACATAATTCGCCCATAACAAACTTGTACTGAAAATCTATTTCAATCTTGTTTAGCCAAATCATAGTTCCAAGTTATTAGGCCACAAAAAAAAGTCTCCGGTTTCTGGTATGCGCGCGCGTCGCCGTAGCCATGCGCGTCGGCAAAATAAAAAAGGTTTTTTTCAATACAAGATGGTGTTTCAAAACCGCCAAACTCACTGGTTTGACTGGAATTCTGCTGCTGCACAATTTTAACGTGTTTTTAGATGGGGTTATGATCGAGAATAAGATTTATGTGGCCTCTCTGGACTCCCATATATTTGCACTAAGTTTAGTCGGGCACCATTTGCAGTCATCAGCCGACATTTGAAGCCAAAAAAAAAAAAAAAAAAAACCAGGTAAAAAAAAAAAAAAAGCTGCGTCGCCGCACCACTTTTGGGGCAAGCTCCATACCAGAAACCGGAGACTTTTTTGTTTGGCCTTAGGCATGTTTGTATGTTTCTAGCCTTCTGCTGATAACCTAAGGCTTTATCAAAGGAGAACTACAGTACTAAGATACGCACATTTCTGTAACAACGAGACAGAGTTCTTAGAGAAAAGAAATGTGTTCGTAGACATGATGGAGAAACTTCTACTCTGTAACCACAAGAAAGAGGAAATTGCCAACTGGTCATAAAAGACGTACAATTTGAAATCTGTGAGCAATACATCATGAATGAAACACGACCAAAAGAACCACATCTAGTCTTCAAGATCACCTACATGTACACACCACTCATTAAAACCCAGCGGCTAACAAAAGTATTGCTGAAAGACTGGCATTTAATTCCAGAACACCTGAAATTATGCAATCCGTTTCCCAGCAAACCAATTACTGCCTATATAAGGCCAAAAATCTTGAAGGTGTACTTGTCAAATCAAGATTTATCAATAACCAGGAATTGGACTCATTTACAAGGTTCCCAAAAATGTTATTACCGTAGATGCACTTATGTGTATCAACATGTATGCACTCTAACATTTGACACGACTAATTTAGCCGAATATAAAATACTGGTTTTGGCGTACTACTGATGAAGCTCTGCTATTAGAGCATGAGAGCAGAAACCAGTCTAGTTGGGTCTTAGAACCATTTCTAGTCATTTTTACTTATTAAAAGTACACTGAAATCACCATAGATGTGTTATTTTTTTTTTCTTGAGAATATGCCATGAGCTCATGATTTCTCGGGCATTCCCTAATAAATGCTAGTCTGAGTACGTTATCCACGGAGCCCAGACTCCTGTCTAACGTCTGATATATCAAAGCATGCCAATTTATGCGATCTCACGCCTCAGCCAATTGGAGTCGACTTTACTAAACGTCATTGCATTCCTAAATCAGGACTACCGGTAAAAGTTTGATTGGTCAATTCGAATGCAGTGTTTTGTAATGCAACAACAGCCGGGCGCGTTATCGCGTAACATGATAACAGAGTGCGTGACACAGGGCTTTTTAATCCATTGTCTATGACGCGCAACGGGTGAATGAAGGAAAACCCGATATAGAAAGCACCCGCTGATTGGTCAAAATCTAGGAGGTCAAGAAGTGGGGTCTGGCCTAATTAATCAGCGAATCTGCTCACATATCATTACATAGACTAAACAAGTGCCAGATTCCTTGCCACTACGTAACGTCAGTTAGTTATACGGCCTACATGTACCTCCCCACTTCACACAATGCACTGTTTAATATTTATGTGGCAGGACTCTAATAGCTAATACTTACTCATACAACAAACATAATGCTGTAGAAAGTTCTAACAGTGAGGTTTTTGAAGATAAATGAGGCTTCATTAAAGTTTGATGTCAAGGAAAGTACTGGGCGTTTTTACCCCGAGACCCCTGATTAGCCCGGGGTAAAAACGCCCACTCAAATAAACATTATTAAGCACATATTAAAATAGATTTTAATATTTTAATCATTTATAATTATGTAATTAACCCTTCTTAATATATATCAACTAAAGAATAATAAAAATATAAAATACTTTTTTTTATAAAATAATTTTAAGCGATATAGGCTAAACCTTCGACGGCCATTTTTTCAAACTTTTTTTTAAATATTTTTTTCAACAGCACCTATGCACCCTTCAAATATGTTAATGAATTTAATTCTTGTTATTATTAGTTTTTATCTACAGTGTACTTATTAAAAATATATTCCATTGAATAATTCATCTTGTCATTTTTTACTAGCAGTGGAAACAAGTCAAGTGGGCGTTTTTACCCCATGGGCGTTTTTACCCCAGTTTACCCTATATCCGGGCTATGCAAAACTGTCGATGGCAACGCGTACTGCACCCTGCTCCACACCCTGGAAACGAGGTTGGGTCTACGGTGCTCGCTATTTGCATGATTTGAAGCACAAGCATGTGAGTGACGTGTACATGTATAGT